AGGCAGTGTTGAGAGGAGGCTCCTGGAAGGGAAGCACAATGAAGGGAGGGATTTGAGCTCTGGAGGAAGCGGGATGGGAGAGGTGGGAAGTTGTTCCTGGAGATAAGGAGATGCAGGGGAGGCCACACAGCAAATGCTCTGGGGCCTGGTTTCCTCTGCTCATCTGAGGTTCAAAAACTGGTAAAAAAAAGATGAGTGTAGGGCTGGTTGGCTCCAGGTGATGGCCACACACCTGCAATGTTGAGGGTGACTAGGTGGAGGTTTTGGGCAAGCAATGGAAGAGGAGCAGATCCCATGGAGATCTTTGAGGTTTGGGGTACCAGGAGGGTCCCAGGGATGTTTCAGTGTCTCCACCCTTGAATGGTTTCAGGAGCAAACTGAAAACAGCCCAGAGGAACCTGGTGTGACCTCATGGTGACCCTGCTTGGAGCAGGAGGTTGGAGTGAAGATGTCCCCAGGTCCCTTCCAACCTGAATTTCCCTCTGATCCTAAACCATACCAGACTGTTCCTTCTTTTGAAGAACCTTTCCAGAGCATCCAGGGTGTCAGGGAAGAGACACCAGCACACCCCTCCAGAGAGCAATTTCCTGATTGTTTGCAGGCCGAATGTCACGCTGGTAAATCTGATATGGCCAAAGAAGATGGTCTTCAAGTCACTTCCCAACCCAAATTGTTCCACAATCCTATAGCACCTGGAGATGCCCCAAGACGAAAAAGCCATGACACCAAATTATTCTCAGGGGAAGTGGTTTGTTCCCCCATCAGGCAGCAAACATCTCTTTGCTCCATCCACTGTTGGAAAAGCAAAAAATAACTTTAGCAGTGACCTCCACCAGCACCAAATTCCCTCCTTGCGTGGAGCCAGTTTGCAAACAGAACACCCAAAAAATCCTTTCCATTTCCTGGTCACCCTCAGCCCCCTCTATTTCTTAGCCAAACTCTTCATTTACAAAGAGCAGTGGCTATAACAAAACAAGTCTGGGTAACTCGGGGTCAGCACTGCTATTTTTTGAGACGTTTCCTGTTCTTGCAGGATCTTAGTGTGTTGTGTCTCCATCACCTCCTGCATCCCCATCCTGTGTTTGATGGGTGTGTGGTGCCAGATTCAGGGTGGTATAAACAAGCAGATCTCAGCTTGTTGAAGTAACTCTCACCCTTTTGTTTTCTTTGACCTGGGGGCTGCTTTTTTTGTGATAAGAATAAAACAATCATTTCAGGGCAGAGGAAATTTTAATATCTCTCCTCCTAAAATAGCACTAGAGAAGAATGAAGATCTTCTAGCCTGAAGAACTTGGATAGATGAAGTAGCAGGCTTTTTATAGCCATCATAATTTATTACTTAATTTTCCCTCCCCAGATAAAAGTGGGAAACTTTTCAAACAGTCTTCTCATTTTATCCCTTTCTCAAGCTATTCATAAATTTTTCAGTAAGAGCTCTTTTCAGTAGGCAGCAAGTCCATTCTCTGAATGAACATCCATTGCCTGGAGGATGGACTCCTCTGAAACATTCATGGGATCCCATAAATACAACAGGATCCCATAAATCTGAGCGAAAAGGAAGAAAAACAGTTCTTATGAAGCACAGCAAAGGACTACCTTGTTTGTTTACCATGCAAGCAGAGCACAACTCATGTTTTCTCTCCAAGAAATTGGAATTATTTCCTTAAAAGTGCTGTTAGAGTAAGAAAATAGCTCCTTGATGCTACAGAGGGATAAGGAAAAAGCAAATTGAAAGCCCTAAAGCATGGATCCTTGGCTCTTAGGATGCTGAAAATGGGATTTGTGAGTCATAAAGCTTTTCTGTTTGGATTTATTTGGAGCTGCTGACTCTGGGTTTATTTCTGGGGTTGCCTTTGCCCGTCAGGGATGGAGACAGGTCTTCCTGAGGTTCCACCATCCTGGGAAGTCCTGCAGGATGGCTCATGGATGGTTCCTTAGCGTGCACCAGGACATCAAAGCCATCCCACAGCCCACACTCCCAGCAGCCAACGTTTTCCATGGGGAAGGGTTGTGCAGATCCCGAGATCATGGGATGTATAAATCCATTTTTAAATAAAATTCAGCCTCCAGCCTCACTGGGCAACCATCAGCCCAGGGTGGGAAATTTAGGCATTCCTCATGGATGGGGGAATAAAGAACATCTCCAGGTGCACATCTCAGGGTGAACAGCTAATTTTGGCCTCTCTGTGTGTACAACATTGTTTTCTCCAGCAGGGATTTGCTAAAAATAAACAGCTATCCAGGGAAGAGGGTGTGCAGGCAGCTGTTTCTGTGGGGAGATGCCAATGCTGAGGTACCCAAGCTGAAAGCACAGCGAGGATCAGCCCTACCAGGTCACACCAGCAGGCTCAACCCAGATCTGCTGTTTGCTTTTGGACAAGACCTAGGTCAGGAGGACCCACCAAGGAACACCAGCAGCAGCTTTCCCCCTCTTTCCAAACCACTCTGCCTCCCCTCTTCCTCTCTTTGGGAATTGTTGTGGATTTCATTCAGCTTCTGCAGCCCTCAAAACGTGCAACAATAGTGGGATAGTGCAGCTCAGGAAGCTGAGGGCAGGAACAATAGCTGATGTCACGTTCTTTCCCCTTCCACCTCACCTCACTCCTTCTCCAGGAAGCCTGACCTCCCTGTTGGGTGTTTTCCAGGTTGTTGGCCTGATTTGTCATCCCAAGGGAAATACAAGGCTGCAGGCCACAGCAGTGGTGTGAAATATCTCCTCTTGTTGGCCGAAAGAGTTTTGGGGGAAAAATGTCCCTAAATCCCATCCTGGGAACATCCCTTTTCCCTCTCCTCTGCCACCATAGCCTTGCTGTGTTCCTGGAGCTTTGGAGTGCCTGGGCAGGCTCATGGAGATGAAGAGGAGATGGAAGAGAGGAGATGGAAGGAGCCAACACAGAATCCAGACGTTGCAGGGAAAGGATGAGCTGTGAGGACATGTCTCCTTCCTTTTGTGGGTGTTGGATGTAGAGGGGGCTTGGGAAAGCCTTCTGGAAGCTGGTGGTTCATGGAGCTCTGCAGGAGGCTGTCCACTCAGCAAACAACAAGAGAAGCAGGAGGAATGCATTCCAGGATCCTTCTAGAGAGAAGCTAAGGGTTTTTAGCAATCCTATCCACTTTTGCTTCCAGGCCTTCAGCTCCCATTGCTGATGCTGCCTTAGCAAGCTCAAAGCCTGTCCAGAGGCTCAAAAACCAGGAAGAATTTGGGATTGGGACAGTGCCAGCTCCTTGTCAGCACAACCTGTGCCGTGGGGACTTGTCTGTACATGGAACCATCAGAATTTTATCATGGCCAGCTAAAACGCTTCCCAGTGGCTGCAGGGCAGCTGGGCCACGGCCCAGAATATTTATTTACCTTGTCTTTGCTCTGTGGCACTGAGCAAAGTTCGATTTGGTTTTTGAGGAAAAAAGGAAAGAACACTTTGGAATGTGTTCTCACCAGGTTAAAAGCGAGGTGGGACCCTGAGTGTTCCCCTCTGGATTGGGGTCCTTTGGGAAGGGAAAAGGAGCCTGCTCCAGGCAGCCCCATGGCTCCATCACACCCCAAAGCTGCAGATTTGGGGCTTTACACTGCTGCTGGCAAATACTGATGTAATTAAAATAAGATGCAGACAAGGGGTCTTATCCCACTGTCCACCAGGGATGAGGAGCTGGGGGGATTAACAGGGCTGGACACAGTGCAGGGAGCTGGTCACAGATTAGCACTGGGGGATGGGGATTAACGTTCTGAGGGGGAATGAGAGCCTCCACAGCAAATTCAGTTTGCCTTAATGCTTACTCAACCTCTAGTGCTTCCCCCGGGGGTGGGCGGTGAGGCAGGAGCCACAGGAGGAGCGGGATGTTCTCCCCTCAGCTGAGGGATGAGTGATTGATGGCTTTGCACCCATGTCCCCCTCAAAGCCTGGCTCCAGATCCTTCCCTGCCTTGTGGCGACCTCAGTCCTTTATAAATCCTTGCAGGTTTACCGCCCAAAATCCCTGCTCCTGCTCCCTGGGAGCTGAGGGTGCTGACTCAGTTGTTTGGATTGGTGACACATCAGTAAAATAGGAAAAGACAGACTGGGGACAGGGTGCCAGAGGCCAGGCCAGGCTGGGATCTCTGGGCAGAGCGGGATAAGGCAGAGGAGGCAAAACTCCTTGAATTTCTGCTCTGAAGAGAATGAAGGGTGTCTGTAAGGGTCGTTGTGTTGGTGTTAGCAAACAGAGGGGTGCTGGTTGGAAAGGGGGTTTTGTTTTTGGGGACAACAAGAAAAGGACCATGTGGGGTGCTGGTGACACCCATGGGGGGTCACGGGGGGGACACGGGGATGTCTGTGTGCTGTAGGGTGTTTTGGGGACAATATTTTGGGGACACCAGGGTACATCACTCTGTGGAGATCCAGGACACATCCCTCCTGGGGTTCTGTGGGATGTCGGGGGTCTCCGTGTGCCCCTGCTCCTCGGGGCTCTGTGTCACTCCTCCCCGGAGGCTTTTGTGTCACCCATTCTCGGGGGGCTCCGTGACACCCCTCCCCAGGGTCTCAGGGTCCCTTGTCCCCCCTCCCCAAGGGTCTCAGAGGGTCTCAGGTGTCCCCTGTCCCCCCTCCCGGGGTCTCAGGGTCCCTTGTCCCCCCTCCCCGGGGACTCCCTGCCATCGGACGAGCCCACGCCCCATCGTAGGGGGGGACATCAGCAGCGGTGGGGGCTGGACGCGCCCAAGAGGGAGCGGGGGGGGGGCGTGAGGGGGGTGTGAGCAGGGGGCTGGACTTGGGCGAGCCCATTCCTGCCGAAGGGGTGAACAATCTCATCCCCGCTATGTTTACTCCCAGCTAGGGCCGCTAGCCAAGAATTTCCAACCGCACTTCCTGCGAGAGGAGGAAAAACTCGGGATAAATCCTGCGCGGACAGAAAAGCTGGGAGCGGAGGGAGCTGTGCGGGTGTGCCATATCCTTCTCCCCCCCAGGCCGAGTGGTGCGCGCGGCGCGGGGCGGGGCGCAGGCCCGCAGTGGCGGAGCCGCCCCGTCGCTCCGGCGCATCGCGGTCGCCATGGCGCTGTGCGGCCGCTCCGCGCTCCTCCCGCCGCCCCCGCGGCACCGGCCCCGACCCCGAGCCCCGGGGCCCTTCGTCAGGTACCGGAGGGGCAGCGGGGAAGGCGAGGAGAGGGGTGACAGCCAGCGGCAGGGCTGCGCTGAAGGGGCTGTGGGGTGGGGAAGGGGTGTGCGGGGTGGGGGTCTGTTGGAGGGGCGCTGAAGGAAGGATGTGGAGGGTTTTGACGAATTGAGAAGGAATGTGGTGTGCGAGAAGCTGAGGTTTTCACAGCTGTGGCGCTGCTCGTGGAGGAAATAGCGTTAAACGCCTGTTGGGGGGCGTTGGGGTGCGAGGGATGAGGTGCGCTGGAATGGAGGGGATGGGGAGAGGTTTGAAGCGGTAGGATGGGGATTTGAGGGGTTTGGTGTGGGAGAAAGTGGGGTGTTCACAGGGCTGATTTGGGGTACAGCAGGGTTTTACACCTGATTGAAGGCGTTGGGGTGCGAAGGATGGGAGTGGGACAGAAGGGATGAGGCATCAAGGAGAGATTTTCCTGCGTGCCACTGAGCTGTGGAGGGGGGTGCGGTCAGATTTGGGATCATTAGGGAGGTTTTGGGGTTCTGGAACAGCACGTGAGGGGCTGGCAACGAGAAGGACGGCAGACAGGAGCCTGCTGTGACCTTGTGGATGGAGGGATTGTCAGAGCAGGAATCCTGCTGGAGGAGGGTGAGTGGGAGGCTGCGGTGGCTCGGGAGCAGCAGGACAGCACGGGGGGTTTGTGTGCACACAGGGTTTGTGTTTCTGTAGGGGATAAACCTGTGACAGATTTGGGAGGGGTCGGCCTGGGCTGTCTTGGTAATAAGGGGGAAAAAAAAGGCTTGTGAAAGGCAGGGAAAGTGAATTAGGGTAGGGATAGCTGAGGTTTGGGAGAAAGAAGAAGCTGTATGTGTGTGGGCTCCTGCTGGGAGGGTTTGTGGGTACAAAGGTAATAGAATTTCCTGAGCTTTGAAAATATGTTGGGAGGGCTTGACAGGAGCTGGGATGTGGGGACAGGTGAGATGGTGGCATTGGCTCTGTGGGAGCTCAGGTGTCAGCTCAGGTATCCTTGGGTTGCCAGAGCTCTGTTTCCTTTTGAAGACTTAAGGTGCACCCATGTGTGTGATGCTGCAGCCCATTTTCTAAAGGGTTTGAATAGAGCAACCAGCCTCAAGGTGTGCCAGGAGAGGTTTAGCTTGGATGTTAAGAAACATTTCTCTGCTGGGAGGATTGTCCAGCACTGGAACAGGCTGCCCAGGGCAGTGCTGGAGTCTCCAGGTATAGAAAAGGCAATTAAAAAACATTTTTGTGGTGCTTAGATGAGCTTCAATGGTGGCTTTGGCACTGCTGGGGTAACAGTTGGACTCAATGGTCTTGGAGAGCTTTTCCAACCGAAATGATTCTGTGATTCTGTTTTATGGTACCACAAAGGACAACCCAGGAACTGAAGTGCTTGATGCTTTCAATAGTTGCAGCACAATACGTGGAAGTATTCAGCAGTGGGAAGCCAGATAATCAGGGAAGGGAGACCTTGCACGTGAATCGCAGACAAACACTTGGCCAAGCTGCCTGGCTCTTGTGCTTGCTGGAGATTTTCAATTAAAAAACAAACAAACACCAAAACCAAACGGCTTTTTATCTTAAGTACAAGCAGGGAACAAAAGCATTTTCACTTTTTGGACGATTTACCGGTGAAATGGGGAATTCTGGTGTGAGAGAAATGGAGGTTGTGCTGCTTGTTTGGAACACGTGAGCACGGCTGGTTATGTTCCCTCTCTCCCTTTCTGAATTGAAAATAAGACAGAAAGAAAAGTGACCTTTTCAAAAAATTTTTTAAAACTGAATAAATGAATCTTAATTATTTAGAAAGAGCTTAGTATTTCTTTGGAGCTGTAAAGTATCTAAAAATTCATGATGGGTAACGAAATGCCAAGATGGTTTAAAAAAAATGCTGAAAGAGAAAATGGTTTCCACTCAAGCCTTCCTCTTCCTGAGTGATTTTTGTAATCTGAGACCCTGTTTTAGAGTTGTCATGAGAACATTCAGCCTCTCTGAACATCTGCAAGCTTTTGAGCTCCACTGGGAGATGCAGCCAGCAACTGTAATTTGGTGCATTTGTAGGAGCCATGTCATCTGTTAATTTTTTTTCCCTCCTTAACATTCATTCTTTTTTAAAAAAAAATTTTATTGTCAGGCCAGATGGAGGCCAGCGTTTGCAATAAATTTCCTAGGCAGTCAGCAGATAGCAGGCAGTTAATAAAAATAACTTAAAACAAAACAATCTGTTACCCTCCCCCCCCAAGTTCCCAAACAGGAATGGAAAAATTCTTCAGACTATATAAAGACTAGAGAAAGGGCCAGAGACAATTCTTGGAGTTCTTCCACATGCTTGAGAGTTTTGCTCTGCCATGTGGCACCTTGGGAGCTGGGGACCCTCAGCATTGTAACAAGTAAAGAATGGGTTTGGAAACAGAAAGAAAAAATCCCTTAAGTAAGAGAGGAGTGCTGCCCAAAAAAGGGGAAGTCTTTTTGGGAGGTGATGTCATCTTTCATGTGCCTGTGTTTGGTGGGGAATGGGTGTTTTCCTTGTGAATACAGGCATTTCTGAACAAAAATCCTATGAAGTGCTTGTTTTAAATATCTGCATCTGAAAATCAATGCAGATTTGTTCTATTTCAGAGCCTCTGCACCCACCCAATCTGAACTACCTTTATGTAAAACAGAGTAAGCAAATCCTCATTATTCATTATCCATGGTGGTAACATAATACAGATGAGTTCTCACCATGTGTCCATGTGGGGAAATGCAAAATGACTCATTGGGTTAATTTTTCTGTTGTCTCTTCGTCTGTGCTTTACATTTTCCTGCTCTAACTGTTCTGTTGTTAATCACATCGTGGTTAAATATGTGGCTTTTTTTTTTTTTTTTTCCATGAATAGGGTGTTTGGGAGCACGGGACCAAAGAGCTGTTGTGGTTTCCCAACCAGTTTTTGCAGGGGACTTGTCTGTGATGAAAGATTAACAATTTTTTCTTTGTGTTCCTTATGTAATTCTGCTGAGGTTCAGGATTTTGTAAGAGCACAGTTGCACTGGAATTATTTAATTTTTTTGAGGAATGTGCTGTATTTTAGCAATGCAAAGAGAGAGCTGATTTAACTTGAAGTACAGGGGGGAAAAAAGAGAAACAACCCCCATTCCTTGAATATGGATGGTTTTCTGCCACCTTGGGGAAATAAGAATGCTTAGAGTTTGCTACAGTGAGAATTGAGGGGTGTGGAACCATTTGATTGATGGGAATAGAGAGGTAGAAGGGAAACTGCCACGGGGAGGAGCAGAGCTATGGTGTGAACCTTTCAGCTGGAATTCTCCCTTTGTGATCATCTCAGCATCTGATTTGGAGCTTTGTGGCCACCTGGCTGCAGAGGTTCTGGCCCAGGAATGAGCCCTGAAGGTGAATTTAGTCTTGAGGCACCGAAAATCAACTTTGATTTCTGCCCTGTCCTTTTAATCAGAGTGAGTGATGGCAGAATAATCACCCTCGAGCTGCTGCTCTTTGTCCCTTTTTCAATTTTTGTCATTTTCTCAGCTGATAATATTTTTGGAAGGGAATAATTGATGCCCTCCATAATGTGCTGCAACATAAGAAAATGAAAATGCAGACATGGTTTTTGTAAATCAAGAGAGAGAACATCAAGGCTGAGGGTCTGACTGATGGGCAACCCATCATTTATAAATATCCTCAGAAAGTTTGTGACTGTGCAGAATGACATCAGGCAGTTCCAGATGTTTAGTGAGGAGAGATTCAGGCTTGTTCCTATGTGCTTTGAGGTCTCTGGATTACAGAATTGAATATTCCTGTCCACTAAAGGTCAAGATTTTGTCCTGAAAATGCACACAGAATTAAAATTTATTTATCTATGTCCATTTTTTTCTCACTGTTCCTAAAAAATTACTTGATCTCCTATTTATAGTCAAGATCCCTATGCTTACTGTGGAGAAATTTGCAAAATAGGTGGAAAATTGACACCTGTTTTAAGGTGGCTGAATGTTGTCTTTCATGAGTGCCAAGCAGTGAAAGAGTTATTTTGAAATCAATGAAATTCTGAGAGTCTTTAGCTCAATCTGACTTCTGGTGTCTGTTTTCACAGCTACAGTAAGGTGGGATAATGTCAGACTGTGGGAAATGCAGGAAAATCCTGGATTCTTAATACAAGCAAACATTTCTGATAGAAATCACGAGGTCAACAAAAAACCCAAGGAATATAAACTCGATTTTTCAGGGACTAAAATGGAAACAGATGCTCACAACAGCGAGTTAGCAAGAAGTGAGACTTGGGAAAAAAAAACCCAAACAAACCCTGTGATATATGATTCTATTTCATTTATTTATTTATGGTAAATCAGGCTGTTAATGGTAAAACCATTGACTTTGGTAGGCAGCACGGATCTATTCAAGGTGAGGATTTTTTCTAATGTGGGGATATTTCTGATTTTTCCCTGCCATCCATCCAGCCTTGGCCACGTGCAGGTTTTTAGGGCTGCCAAGCTTTTGTGGGGGAGAAGTGAAACATCTGCCAAGATGAGGAGAAACACACGGGAAGGAGCGAAATGCCAGCCTTTGTCAGCTGAATTGGGCACACAGCTGCAGCCCTGCCAGGCTGGGGGAATCCTCTGGGAATGGGGAATCCACTGGGAATTGGGAATCCAGGCTGGGGGAATCCTCTGGGAATGGGGAATCCACTGGGAATTGGGAATCCAGGCTGGGGGAATCCTCTGGGAATGGGGAATCCACTGGGAATTGGGAATCCAGGCTGGGGGAATCCTCTGGGAATGGGGAATCCACTGGGAATTGGGAATCCAGGCTGGGGGAATCCTCTGGGAATGGGGAATCCACTGGGAATTGGGAATCCAGGCTGGGGGAATCCTCTGGGAATGGGGAATCCACTGGGAATTGGGAATCCAGGCTGGGGGAATCCTCTGGGAATGGGGAATCCACTGGGAATTGGGAATCCAGGCTGGGGGAATCCTCTGGGAATGGGGAATCCACTGGGAATTGGGAATCCAG